TGTGATAACTACAACCCGTACAACTCGCTGTTAATCTTCTTCTTCGCTTCTTCTTCTTCTTCTTCTTCTTCTTCTTCTTCTTTGACGCTTGGCTGGCAAACCCGCTTTTGGTACATATTCCGCCACCTACTGCTAAGGAGTATGGATCGTTGATGTTGATGGGGGAAAAAAATACATAATCTCTCTTAAATCCTGTTTATTGATCCTGTGTCTTTTAGATATTTTAACAGTATATTGAACACTCTTACATCTTTATTTAACAGATTTCTCTATGAAAGCTGTATTCCTATATTTCTAAGAACTCTAAAATCTCTCATCTCTAAGACCTCTATTAGTTGTTGTCTTTCATTCTCATATCATTTACATTTTATTAGAACATGCTCGACTGTTTCAGGTTGCTCACATCTGACACAACATCCGGATTCATGTTTTCCAATGATATGTTATGATGACTGATTAAGTGCAGTGTTAAATTCAGTGTCTTCTCTTCTGCTTCCAACTAATCTCTGAATAGGCCTGTAGATGGCGTCCTTTACTCTCAATATCCTTTTTTCCCCTCACAATTTTTTTACAGCTCCTTTTTGTGTTTTATAAACTAATATTATAATTAGAATGTTCTTTTTACTATTCTGTACTTATATTTTGGTATGTATACTGATGGTGATGATGTGTGTCCTGTATATGGATCTTTAGATCCATCTGTATATAATGTAATTGATGATAAATATTTCTGATCCAGGTATTTATAAACTACTGTATCTTTAGGTTCTATTCTAGCTTTAACTTTATCATTCATTAGAAGCTGAAAGTCAACTGCAGGCATTGGAATTAACCATGGTGGTGTTGCTGGCAGCACTACAGTTGGGCAAACAACACAGTTACTTATTTCAATTTGATGAGCCTCTTTATTTGCTTTCCATCCAAAGCTGTTTAAATTAACATATTCATGTTCACTGCCATTTTTTAGAACTGTTTTAACTGGGTGTATTTCTGAATGCCCCCTTTATAGTCGCCCAATATACCAATTTTAATCTACAAAGCTCCAGTGGCATCTCACCCATTTCTACCTGTAGTGCTGATATGTCCTCGGACATTATTATTGCTTGTAATAGGAAGAATTCACTGTGAATGTGATAACTACAACCCGTACAACTCGCTGTTAATCTTCTTCTTCGCTTCTTCTTCTTCTTCTTCTTCTTCTTCTTCTTTGACGCTTGGCTGGCAAACCCGCTTTTGGTACATATTCCGCCACCTACTGCTAAGGAGTATGGATCGTTGATGTTGATGGGGGAAAAAAATACATAATCTCTCTTAAATCCTGTTTATTGATCCTGTGTCTTTTAGATATTTTAACAGTATATTGAACACTCTTACATCTTTATTTAACAGATTTCTCTATGAAAGCTGTATTCCTATATTTCTAAGAACTCTAAAATCTCTCATCTCTAAGACCTCTATTAGTTGTTGTCTTTCATTCTCATATCATTTACATTTTATTAGAACATGCTCGACTGTTTCAGGTTGCTCACATCTGACACAACATCCGGATTCATGTTTTCCAATGATATGTTATGATGACTGATTAAGTGCAGTGTTAAATTCAGTGTCTTCTCTTCTGCTTCCAACTAATCTCTGAATAGGCCTGTAGATGGCGTCCTTTACTCTCAATATCCTTTTTTCCCCTCACAATTTTTTTACAGCTCCTTTTTGTGTTTTATAAACTAATATTATAATTAGAATGTTCTTTTTACTATTCTGTACTTATATTTTGGTATGTATACTGATGGTGATGATGTGTGTCCTGTATATGGATCTTTAGATCCATCTGTATATAATGTAATTGATGATAAATATTTCTGATCCAGGTATTTATAAACTACTGTATCTTTAGGTTCTATTCTAGCTTTAACTTTATCATTCATTAGAAGCTGAAAGTCAACTGCAGGCATTGGAATTAACCATGGTGGTGTTGCTGGCAGCACTACAGTTGGGCAAACAACACAGTTACTTATTTCAATTTGATGAGCCTCTTTATTTGCTTTCCATCCAAAGCTGTTTAAATTAACATATTCATGTTCACTGCCATTTTTTAGAACTGTTTTAACTGGGTGTATTTCTGAATGCCCCCTTTATAGTCGCCCAATATACCAATTTTAATCTACAAAGCTCCAGTGGCATCTCACCCATTTCTACCTGTAGTGCTGATATTAGGGGATGTTTTAAATGCTCCACAGCATATTCTTAAGGCTTGATTTTGTACTTTATTTACTTTTTCAAGCAGAGATGCTGAAGCTGATGTGTAAATCAAACAGCCATGCATCTACTGCAAACCTTATATGTGCAAATCTTCTTCTTTTTTTTCGTATGGAGTTTGTTTGGCAGTTGGCAAACCAGCTATTTTTGCATTACCGCGAATAACTGGACAGAAGTGCAGCGTGTCGAAAGAAAGGTGTTTGGTACGTGTGTCGTATTTAAATATTCTAAAACTTTAATGTACAGCTCCGAACCAATGGTTTGAAACAAAAAAAATGCATAAAAGTTTGGAAACCAAAGCAGTGTTTCTGAAGTGTCCATAGCCTACCAGATTGAATTGTAATTGTGATTAAACAAAAAAGTTTGAAACTCTCTTAAGAAGTGACAGATAAAAAAGATTTTGTATAACACCCCTGTCACTGGACACTTGCAGAATAATGAACTCAACAATGGCATTGACAACTAAAATGTTTAGCTTTCGTATAAAGTTGCATTAACACCACTAGTTATAGCTTTAAGTCCAAGATGAGACTTATATTAGCAATGGCTGTTTCCTAAAAGCATTGTAATCCTACAATGATAGATCCTACAAAGATCATAGAATCCTATAAAGATCATATAAACCACTGGCACCCATGGTCTCTACAATCTACTGTGGCTTACTATTTTTTATGAGAAATGAGAGCCCAACCTGACAGTTGCTGAGCACATCTTTAATACAGTTTGCCAATTCATTCTGGCTATTGTGCTGTTATGCTGTATTTTAATGATGCAGGGTGTCAGTATTTTATCCTCCCTCATTATATGTGTAAATAATAATTATAATAGGCTGGACTCAGCTTTACAAAGAGTCACATTCACAAATATATCATGATCAAAAGAGTCTATAATAGCCTAGTGCACATTGTCAATGTCATCTTGTCATCTTTTTTTACCACAGCGAGTCATAAAAAAATTAATGAATGAATGAATAATCTTCTTAGCAAACTAAAACTCTATCACTGGGACTACCACCAATTAATTTGTATTCAGTATTATTTATTTATTGCAAAATATATACATACGCATACTATAACCTTTGCCAAACTTGTAATGCCTGGAAATAACTGTTCCATGCAAAATGTGGGACACAAATATTACATTATTGGCAATTAGTTCATGCATAAATGTAGTTGCATACTACTCTGAATAAAATATATCAGATTAACATTATTTACTGTATGACTTTAATTGTTGGATACAGACAAAAAGGTCAAGATGAGGTAGGACAGGCCAAAAACATTTAAAGGGTTTAAAGTTAGCTGATTTAGATAAAAATCATTCTAATATTTCTCCTAAGGTGAGTTTTGAGCCTCTGATACTTAAAAAATAAATAAATAAATAACTATACACCAAAGTGGACCACATTTGTTAAATGTGCCAGTATCACCTTCTAGTGGTTGGTTATTTGAACCACATGTGTTTGTTCTGTATGTTTCACAGGAAGGAGCGATATTTGTAAAAGACACAGATGAACTGGTCAAAAAAGGCCTTTGTTCAAAGGGGAAGATGTTAGACTTGTTTTGATAATGAGCGATCTTTCTATAACCATTTTTTCAAGAAAAATTCTAGTACCCAGCCAACATCATTGCTCCTCCACCTACCAGCACCCAGCCAACAATAAAGCTGTAGGTGAAGACTTTTATAGGCTGTGACCACAGCTGAGATGTTCTTATATATAAAACCTTATTTAGAATAGACTGGTGCCATTTTATACAATTTACAGCCTATAAGGGCACCTACTTTAGAGTACCTACACCCTGTTCTAGTATTTGCTTGTGGGGGGTTTTAAGTGTTTTTTTCAGTGTGGAATGGGTCAGAAATGCAGATGGTATACAGAGTGTAAAGGAGAGGGAGGAGCAATTCTATTAAATATACACCACCGGTGAAGACTGGTTCCTCTCAAGGTTATTTTCATCACTACTATCATCCTGGAAGAGTTTTGGTTCCTTCCTTGCCATGTCAAATTGAAACTCTAATTGAAACTATTGCAGCACTCATTTCACTAAAACTGTATTATTCTCTCAAGAGCTGATTTATTATACTTGGACTTGAAGTTTTTTTTTGTTTTTGGTGCCCTTTGTATTCCCAGTAAAGATCATGATGTCACTGCCTTAAAATGCTAAACTATATCAATTTTAAAGGTGTCATAAATAACAGCAATTGAACTTGAAGCATATTTAAGTTGACTTAAAAATAATTGTAAAAAGTTTACCTCATTTTAAACCACCAAATATATTTTTTCCTATGTCCCCATGCAGGCTCGTATTTCATTTTCATGATACAACACTTATGAGGGATTTTTCCCCCCAGTTTTATCACATTGATGGGTTCTCTGTAATGTATGGATTTTTTTTTCAAATATTAAATTTAATGTAGCAATTATAGTCAAAGTTCTTATGTCTTTCAAGTTCCACTTCAAATGAAACCTGGCAGAGAAAAATGACAATTAAATTGTCAATTACAATCATAAAGCTGCCATCACTTACTTGGAGGGGGGAAAAACAGGAATGTGAGTGAGGTCGTATTTCTGTTTTTCTACCTATTTCATTAATTTTATCTTTTCATTTTTACGAAATATGAAAAAAGTCAGTAGGAAATCATATATATTTTTTTAATTAAATGGTTAAAAACCATGCAGTTCTTTATTTGATAAACCTATGTTAACTTTTATTTGCTCATGGTGTAATGGCTGACTGTAGGTCAGAATGTCCACTGTGTTAGTGTACAGCCTTTTAATCAGAAGTCTTAACAAAGTGGACAGTGAGAGTTCTTCAGTATATTTCTGTATGCAGTGAGTGCATGTGATGTCACAGAACATTGCAAGTGTGACTGAAAGTGCAAGTGATTGGCTGAGGTATTGTAACACTTGGCTCATTTAAGCAATCTCACATTGCAGTAAATAACGTATATTGGAAAAATGAGAAAAGAAGAGATCCAGTGAAAACAGAAAGAACTAGGTTCTTTTTGACATTAAATTTCCAAACCTGATTGTGTTGATTAAGAATGATTTGGTTTGCACTACGCCTCACACTGGGTTGCAGTTTTAGGATTCATGGACTTTCATTGTTTAGCATGGCGTGATTTGGATACTGTATTAACCATTGGGTGGTGCAAGTAAACAAACCAGCTTTGCTGTTCGAGCAAATTACTTGTACAGATTTGTTTTTTTTATATTTAGGTTTATGAACCTATGATTTTTTTTTTTTATCAAGTTTGTACTGCTTTTAGCTTAGCTATTTTTCTGGTGTAATTGACAGTATGTCCCCTATGCTGTCAATAGAACTCGAATTGTATTGTATATTCTTTTAATTACATTCAATGTAGAAAATGCTGGACACATGCTACTAAAATTTTTATCCTCTATTTAGCTGTCTCCACAAACATAAAGAGCCCTGGTGGTGGTCCTGGTCACATCAAACCAGCCATAAAGAGACCATTTGCTTCTCCAGAGGGCCGTGATGCTCAGACTGAGGTAAAGAAGACAGCATTGTTTTTAAAAAACAGACGTTTCTTGTTCTGATTATCTGGGTGACTGTAGACCTAACAACAGCCTGTATGTGCACAGACAAATTTTCCAAAAATTCAGACTTTTAACCACATTTAAGGATTTGCTATTGCACCATGAGTGGAGTGGAATTTATTATTACAACACAAGATGGAGAGCAGTGAGATCTCATTTTGGCCTAATTCCATGTATTCAGAGCAAAGTACTCTGCTGTTGCCATATTTTCTAATTAATTTATTAAATCAGCAGTCAGAGCCAAATCACATATTTGGTTTTTGGTTGATATTGTGAGCTGTCTGAGTTCAGAGGATTTTGCTTCTCCAGAAATGTTCCCCCGTCCTCCTTATACCTCCCATTCACAGACAGAATTCTCCTCCTTTTCTTTATTTTTAGCTTTCCATTTCTCTTTCTGACTATGTTTCTGGTCAATAAAATTGGTGGGTCAGTAATTGACATCAGTAAAATTAGTTTCTCAATTTGTTACTTTTGGCATCTGTATTGTCCTCCTGTGTTTTCAAAGTAATTTTTTACATTGTTTGCTTGTTGAAGAAATTTGTACCAATTGTCTAATGCCATGATGTTAAGTATGTATGTAGTTGGTTTTGTATACATATTTATACAGTCCAAAGTATTAACAAAGTAAAAAAAAATTTAAATAGGCTATGGTCCCAAATAAACATCAGTGGCTCTTACCATTTTTTCCTCTACTTTTCCATGTTTTTTTACCTTCCATTCTCAACCTGGTTTTTGGTGCTACGTAGTCTGGTGCAGATAGCCAACCAAAACGCAGTACTCTGAGCAGCAGCTGTTCAGTCTGTGGAAAGCATGTTCACTTGGTTCAGAGGATCCTTGTTGATGGCAAACTTTATCATCGGAACTGCTTCAGGTGAACAACTGCCTAGCGTAACATCTGCATCTGTATTGTTCTATTATTAAAAGCTTAAAAGTAACATTACTTATTATTCCCTCTGCTGTTACTGTTATCACTGTTTTTGTGAGAATTTCTGATTTTCTCTCAGATGTAAGGAATGCAGCAGAACTTTACTGCCTGGATCTTACAAGTTCACAGAGGATCCTGGATCATTGGTTTGCACACACCACTTCACCAGATCTGCCTCAGATGCCAATCAGAATGGTCATTCAGATATGAGTAATAAACTAGCCACACTAACCTCAACAAGCCCAGAAGACCGAAACAATAGGAGTTTAGAATCTAAAGCATCACACAGCGATGCTGAGATCACCCCGGAGAGAGAGGAAGAGGAAATAACTGAAATAGAAAAAGCATCAAGCAAGCAGCCAGATAGCAGATCAGAAGTCGAGACAGAGCACGGAGTGCCTTGTTCTTCTAGTCTGCCAAATCCCTTTGATGAATCTGAAGAGGAGGATCAGGACACACAACAAGAAGACCACAAGCCAGCCGCTAGTGGGGCCAATGGTGATGAGCCAACAACGTCAGTGAAGAGTACAGCAGCAGAGGGTCGACCGGTTCCAGCACCTAGACGGGTATTTGAGCCCACCCCTGCTCCTCGCCCTGTCCCCAGACCACGCCCACCCAGACCCTCTGTCAATGGTGAGCACTGATGCTTATCTCGTCTGCATTAATAACATTACACAGGCCATACTATTGCATGTTGTTTACATGTTTTTGTTAAATGTTTTTTTAAATTATCTGTTAATTGTGATTCTAGGAGTTTCTGACACTCAAATTTCTCAAGTTCCCGTGGCAAGAGAAAGATTGCACTCACCTGCTCGGTAAGATAATTGTTGGCGTCTTCTCTACTGTATCTCTTATTTTCCATTGTTCGGGTTTTGTTTCTGTTTCACGTACAATACCGGTCAAAAGTTTGGAATAATTAGGATTTTTGATGTTGTTGAAAGAAGTCCCTTATGCTCACCAAGGCTGCATTTATTTGATCAAAAATACAGTAAAAACAGTAATATTGTGAAAATTATTGCAATTTTTGGTAACACTATTTCGATAGTCCACTTTAGACATTCTACTAAAAGTAAGTAACTTTACAACTACATGTCAACTAGCAGTCATTAGAGTATTAGTAGACTGTCTGCTTAATAACTTCTGCCACATTATTTTGATGAGACCACAACATACAACATACTGACTGAGAAACTTTGCAAGTATATGTCATCTTATTCTACTAACCCTAAACCTACCCTAACAATCTACTCTGAGAGTTAGTAGATATATAGTTTCAAATTAATGAGAATTAGTTGACATGTAGTTACAAAGTTACTTATAGTTAGTAGAATGTCTAAAGTGGACAATCAAAATAAAGTGTAACCCAAATTTTTTACATTTTAATATATTTTGAAATGGAATTTATTCTTCTGAATTTTCAGCAGCCGTTACTTCACTGTTCAGTGTCACATGATCCTTCAGAAATCATTCTAATATGCTGATTTGGTGCTTAGTTAAAGGACCTAAAAATGTAAATATATTAAAACAGAAAACAGTTATTTTAAATAGTAATGACATTTCAAATTATTACTGTTTTTACTGTAATTTTCATGAAATAAATACAGCCTTCGTGAACATAAGAGATTTTGGTAACACTTTATTTTAAGGTGTCCTTGTTACACATATTACATGTTTTTACTATTATAATAACAATTAATTATGCATAATTACATGCAAGTAACCTTAAGCCAACCCCTAATCCTAACCTTAACCATAAAGTCAGTACATGTAGTTAATTAATATTACTCAGTGCTTAAATGTATAATTACACTGTAGCAAGGACACCTTAAAATAAAGCATAACCGATTTTTTTCCAAAAACATAAAAACTCAAGTTATATCTTAACTTTTGATCAGTCGTGGATCTCTATGTGCGTTCCTCTCAGTGGTTGTAATGTATTCCTTTCCCAGCTCTAACAAGGCCAATGACACTCCTAAACCAAAAGACCCACCCTGGCTGGCTCTTGTCCAATCAGAAACCAAAAAGAAACCAGCACCTCGCCCACCCACAGGTATAGCTGTACCTCCCTGCACTGGTTCATCTCCTTCTCTAAAGGAGGAGGAATCAAGGCCATCCTCTCCTCCAAATCCCTTTGATGATGAGGAAGAGGAGCCAGAAACGACTCCTGAAGATCCCCCTGGTCCTGTGGTGGCTAGTCACCCTTGGTATGGGATTACCCAGGCTGCTGAAATCACAGCTGGGGACACAAGAAGACAAAGTCCTGCCCCTTCTGAAAGTCCTGTAAGTGTCCGAAGGAAGAAGCGACCAGCACCCAAAGCTCCGAATTCTTCTCTGTCAGGTTAGTTGCTTACCGTGTCTGATACATTGATGGTACATTTTGCTTTACACAACTGAAGAGCTGGTGAAGACTGAATTTGAATTGTCCAACATAATATTCAAAGGTGCCCCCCCCCCCCCCCCACCCTTATTTACAAC